TTAACCACTAAGCCATCTCTACAGTCCCTTCAGTATTTTTTTTAAAAATTTGAATTCCTATTCTTTTTTGTTTTGTTTGTTTGTTTTTTTTTTTTTTTTCGAGACAGGGTTTCTCTGTGTCTTTGGAGGCTGTCCTGGAACTCGCTCGGTAGTCCAGGCTGGTCTCGAACTTACAGAGATCCGCCTGCCTCTGCCTCCCGAGTGCTGGGATTAAAGGCGTGCGCCACCAATGCCCGGCTAATTCCTATTCTTATTTAGTAAAAAATGCATTAGACATTTTATCCATTTTAATTATTTTATTTTTATGTGTGAGTGTTTTGTCTACATCTTAAGTGTACCACGTGCATGCAATGCCCTCAGAAGCCAGAAGAGGGCACTGGATCTCCTGGAGGTAGAGTTAAAGATAATTGTGTGAACCGTCATTATAGGTGCTGGGAACATACCTGGTGCCCCCCTGCAAGAACAGCCATTACCATTAGCTGCTGAGCCATCTTGCCAGCCCCACTTTACCTATTTGAAGTGTACAGTTATGAGTAGCTCTCACCGCCATCCACAGTCTGAAATCTCCATCTTCCCTATTTGAAGTCCCATGCCCATTAACTCACAGTACCTCTCAGCTCCTTCCTCTCAGCTTCTGGCAAACACCACCTGCTTTCTGTCCCTGCAAATGTGAGTCACACCCTACTAGTCATTTTGTGATGAGCTTATTTCACTTGGCATAGAGTTTGCAAGGCTTATCTGTGTCACAACACAAAGCAGTATGTCTTTTTCAAGTGGAATAATATTCTACTGTGCGTCCAGACCATACTTTGTCTATCCATTCGCAGTCACTTGTGGGGTTTTCAGATTTGGGTACCGTGAAATAATGTTGGTATGGATATTGGTGTGCAGATTCTCTCTTTGGATGCTTGCTCTCAGTGTGTGTGTGTGTGTGTGTGTGTGTGTGTGTGTGTGTGTACCTAGAAGTGGAATAATTGTGGAATTGCTGGGTCATATGGTAATTATATTTTTATTTTTTTGAGTAATTACTATGCTGTTCTCCACAAAGGCAACACCATTTCATATTCTTGGTGGCAATGTGCACATGGCCATTTTACATTTTACAAAATAGCATCGTATTATTAATTTATTGATTTCATTTGGAACAGTATTTTTCTTTACGGTTAAAATTATAGGGCTGGGCCGGGCGTTGGTGGCGCACGCCTTTAATCCCAGCACTCGGGAGGCAGAGGCAGGCGGATCTCTGTGAGTTCGAGGCCAGCCTGGTCTACAGAGCGAGTTCCAGGACAGCCTCTAAAGCCACAGAGAAACCCTGTCTCGAAAAACCAAAAAAAAAAAAAAAAAAAAAATTATAGGGCTGGAGGGATAGCTCAGAGGTTAAGAGCACTGGGTATTCTTCCAGAGATCCTGAGTTTAAGTCCCAGCAACCATATGGTGGTGCTCTCTTCTGGCCTGCAGGCAAAACACTGTACACTAAATAGATAAATACGTCTTTTAAAAAGTAAGATTGCATTATTGTGTATGTCTGTTCCTTTATGGGGGTGGGGCATGTGCCGCGGTTTGCATATGGAGGTCAGAAGACACCTTTCAGGAGTTGCTTCTGAGCTGAACGTGGAGGTCCATGTTGAGCTGGTTTTTGGAGTTCTAGGAGGGCCATATGGGGTAGGGGCTACTAAAAGCTGCAGTATGTGGACAGGCTGCCTGCTGGATGAAGTCCTCCGATGACAATTCCAGGTTTGTCCACCTGTCTTCATCAGATGTCACCGTCCTGTGTGAAATGTAGGCAGAACCTTCCCAGCTCTCTTTCGAGATTCGCCACGGGTTGATTAGCATCTTCAATGCAGTCAGGTGTTTGCTTCTCTGCACGATTCCCCAGGAACCACACCATATTCACTTTCGTATGCGCCTGTCCCTGGCTCCGACATGAGTGTGCTGTCTATTTCCAGGGAGACAGAGCTGCCTCCACCCCTTATCCTGCCTCTCTTGAACTTTGCACTCACCATGATGAAAAATTAACTGGGCTAATGTTTCCCTCCCAAGGACAAGGACAAAGTCTGCAAGGCAGGCCTGGCTGGGTCCCAGGAGACTAGGTGCCAGCTGAAGTTATAACCAGTCCTGAGCCAGCCACCACCTAGTCAGTGCCTACAGTAGAGGGGTCTATTTCTCCCCCGTGTTCAGAGCTTTGTGTAACTGGCCTTGTGTCCTCACAGGGAGACTTGAGGAAAAAAATCCCAGTGCTCAGGAGGTAGAGGCAGGCAGATCTCTGAGTTCGAGGATAGCTTCATCAATAGAAGGAGTTCCAGGACAGCTACAGCTACCCTGTCTTTTTTTTTTTTTTTTTTTTTTTTTGGTTTTTCGAGACAGGGTTTCTCTGTATTGTTTTGGAGGCTGTCCTGGAACTCACTCTGTAGACCAGGCTGGCCTCGAACTCACAGAGATCCGCCTGCCTCTGCCTCCCGAGTGCTGGGATTAAAGGCGTGCGCCACCAACGCCCAGCCAGCTACCCTGTCTTAAAAAAACAACAAGGAGGGGGAATGAGGGAGGGAGAAAGGGAGGGAGAGGAGAGAAATAATGCTATCAGATCTGCAGGTGGGTCCAGAAGTTTTCTTGCAACCCAGGTGGCCCTTATCATGCTGATACGGGCACAAGAGGAGAGTCTAGGACATCGTTATTCAGTCACAAAAATGGATCTGCCTACCTATTTCCTTCCCTCAGGGAAATGAAGGGGTGGGTGATGGTCCCTTCTGGAGCCTCAGCGATGCTAAGGTTCTTCCACACCACCGACTCCTCTTCTCCCCCTCTCTCCTCAGCTTTTCTCTCTCCTCAGGCTCCCTCCTTTCCTCCATGGTGCAAATAGCTTCCCTCAGTCACGGCTTCCCCTGTGGATGAGGGACTTGTCCTGGAGAACAACCTTGATGCTTCTAATAGTCTTTCTAGATGCCCATGCTCATGTACAGGTGAGGCTGGAGGCTCAGCTAGGTGTAGGGTCAAGAGAGAGCCAGCATTCAAAATCAGGGATGGGGCTGAGCACCTTGGACTTGGCCTGGCTGTCTCACAAAGGCTGGACTGACTGGGTTTGGTGTCCAGGTTAAAATGAACTTTTAACTGGAAGATGATGATTACATAGGTCCCTTTCTGTCCTCAGTCCACCTAAATACACCTTCATCCCTATGTCTTTGGTGCTTCTCTGGGCTGTGAGTTTCTCGTGGTTAGGGACCTTCCTCTTTCACCGTGGATTTCCCAACAAGTAGCATACATGGAAGGGCTGGAGAGAAAGAAGCAGGATTTGTTGGAGCCCAGATCCCCTGGCTACCACCCTTCCTCAGGCACTGACCTCTGGGGTGGGTCCACTCCTGTCTAGTTCTGGACTGTTGGAAAGTCCCTACACCCTAGGAGTTAGGGAGGAATGGGCCTGAGGACATTTCTGGTAAGCTTGTTATGCACCTGTGAGAAGAGCTTTTGTTTTGCAAATTGTGTCAAAGGTGCCCTTTGCTACTCTAGGCCCAGGAGCAAGATCTCAAAAACAAAAGCAAAACAAAACAAAAACCTGGGTTTAAATGCTGGCTCTGTTCCTTGGGGTCATGCCTCCCAGGCAAATATGGGCGTGGACTTTGAGGGCAGCAATTAGACTGTCTTAGGTTGAGGACAGCAGTTAAGACAGCCTTCCTTTTCAGTCTCTTGGTAAGATCTGGGAAGCCGAGTGGAAGAGGAGGCTACAGCCACAACCTACAGGAGAGCAGGAACTGGCTTGTTAGGGTCCACTGGGCCTCAGGGATCGATCCTCCTCCTTTCAGGACTTGGCATCAGGGAGGTGGAAGGAGAGGTCTAGGAAGCCACAACCTCCGCCAAGCTGTGGCTGGTGATGGGGCATCCTCAGTGACAGAGCTGGGGACCCCTGCAGCTTCGGGCTGACTTTGTGGGATTGGCCACACTTCATAGGTTTTTGTAACTCCCACCGGCTCTTGGTTTGCAAATAACCTCTTTCTCACCACCGCTGGTGGTGCTGGGGTTTCCCACTGTTTAAAACAAGCATAGTCCTAGCTACTGGGCTAACCTGATGGGGTAGCGACAGCAGGGTAAAGGAGCTGAGAGCCTGCTGTAACTCCCCCAAACCCGTGAAAGGGCCGTGGGCAGCCTGCCCCGAGTTCCGATAGTTGGGGGAAAAAGCCCCAGGGCTACCCAAAGTCAGGTTCTTTTGGCGTTCCACCTAGGCTAACTTTGAATAAATTTCGCTCCACTTTGTTATGTGCGAGTTTACTGCTTTGTAAACAAAGCTCTCTTGCTTGTTTGGCGTCGAATTTCAGTAACAGCCAGCAATGTTAATTCTTCCCCTCCCCCAAAGATAAATCCTAAAGCGCTCCCATTCATTCCTTCAGGAATGCAACAGATGTCTTTGAGGCCCGTTTTCTGCAAAGAGCTTGGTTCACTAGGCCCAAGGGACCCCTGGCTCCAGCTATTGTTCAAGTTGTCACTGAGGTCTCTAACTCCACTTTTAAGTTTCCCTCTCCCCCTTCCCAACTCCCACCACCGCAGTCTGGGGGCAGTCAGCCAGTCTGATCTCACCCAGCAGGAAAACAAAAACAAAACAAACAAACAAACAAAAAAAACACCAAAGTAAAACAACCCGGGCCAGTGAGCGAGATCAGTGCTCCCGGGCTTCCAGGGCTTGGAACTGAACCCCTCATCCTGTCCGGGTACTCTCCCGGGAGCAGCGAATCCTAGGTAGCCCGCGCCTATTCCCGGCGAATCTAACCCTCTCTAGTCCCTGCAACTGCTTCTGAGCGTCTTGAGGGCGGCGAGGCCCCAGGAGTCCGGTCCTGAGGCACTCGGCAGAGGTGACGGCCTCAGTGCCTAGTGGCCCACGTGGGCGCGCTTGGCGGCGCTGGGCGGGGAAGGCCGCGGGTCCTCCCCGGAGCTGAGCGCGGGGGAGGAGCGGGGAGCCCGGGCGGCGAGGGGGCGGCGACAGCGCTGGGAAGGAGCCTGCAAGCGGAGCTGCGTGAAACGTAGACTTGGGAGCGGGCGGGAGAGGAGTGGGGAGCGCGGCTGCACGGCCCTGGCCGGCCCTGCGAGGCGGCGATCGCTGGGAGGAGGAGGAACAGGAGGAGGAGGACTGCAGAGGCGGAGGGATCTGCTCACCAGAGCCACCCAGGCCAGCAAAGTTTGGTTAGGGGTTGGACTTTCCTTCCCGGAGGCGGCACCCAAACAGCTACCCCGTGCGGAAACCTAAACTTTCTACTGCCACTCCGAGTCTCGCGGCCGCCGCCTCCGCCCCGCGCGCCCGGGGCCTGTCCGTCAGTCCATCGGTCCTCGTGGAGCTGCTCCGGCGCCGCCGTGCTCCCGATCCCCGCAGTGGGAGCGCTGCGGCCCCGGCCTGGACGCCGGGGCAAGTTCTCCAGAGTTAGACGCGAAGTTCGGGCGCGGCGTGGGCCGAGCTGCCCCTGTGCGCCCCCGGCGTCCCTAGTGCGCTCAGTCCCGCCGGGGGCGCCGGTGACCCTCCCGTGCCAGCCATGTCGTCCATCCTGCCCTTCACCCCGCCGATCGTGAAGCGCCTGCTGGGCTGGAAGAAGGGCGAACAGAACGGGCAGGAGGAGAAATGGTGCGAAAAGGCGGTCAAGAGCTTGGTGAAGAAGCTCAAGAAGACGGGGCAGCTGGACGAGCTGGAGAAGGCCATCACCACGCAGAACGTGAACACCAAGTGCATTACCATCCCCAGGTGGGGGCCAGGAGCGGCGGGGGGCGCGCCGGCCCAGCCCCCTAGGGCGACCGGGGTGAAGAGGGAGGGCGTGTGTGTGTGTGTGTGTGTGTGTGTGTGTGTGTTTGTATGCGCGCGCGCGCGCTCTACTGTAGGGGACAGGCAGTGGGTGGAGGGACCCCAAACAAAACCTTCTTCGGATTTATCCAGGCTCAGAGCCCAGGCTTCCATGAGGCACTCTGGCTTCCAGACCTCAAGGATCGCTAGCCGCCTCCGGGCAGCAGGGGTGCTGCTGAGCTTGGCCCCCCACTCTCCAGGCTTTGGGTTCCAAGTAGAGGCCCCGCTTTGTTCGGCTCTGCCGGCCGAGCCCCTCCTCCGCCGCCGCCTCCCGCCCCGCGCTCGTGGAGGTGGTGGCGTGTGTCCCTTTCTTTTCTTTAGCTGTTCCCCCACTTCTTTTCCTCGTCTACAGGAATGCAGTCCGTACAGCTGTGGGTGAGGAGCGCGAGCCCGTTGATTGACAGATTCCTTCTTCGCTCTTTCTTTGCCTTGGGATTATCATTTTTATCGAGTATTTTTAGATTTGGTTGTGCCAGCCTCCCGCCCCCTGTGCACGCATGCACGCACGCACTTAGTTGCAGAGCAAAGCACCGACTTCGAAGCGGGAGAAACAAGTGGCAGAAAGTAGGGTCATTCCCTCTTCACACCCCACTCCTGCCTGGGTTGTCTTCGGTTTAATCGAGGGTTTGCGGGTGCCTAGAACGGAGTAGGCAGCTCTAGACAGATAACAAAACACCCCAGAGCTGGCCTCCCTCAGTCCCTGCATTCCTGTAGAGCCCTCTTTTCCCAAAACACTTTGCCATCTGTCCTGACCTCGTTTATCCTTCCCATCGGGCTAGACGAGTCCGGCGGGAGCTCCCAGATGGCTGATGGAAGGGGTCAGTGACTTCACTCCCAGTGCCTCCCAGAGCATAACCGCACGTGGGAATTGGGGTGAGGGCTCTGTAGCCTCTTTCTTCACTTCTCACGACATCTTTAAAGATTGATTCCAGAGGAGGACAGGTGCGGATGTTGGGGAGGGGTGTCCCCAGCTGAAGAGGAATGGAGAGAGAGCTCCCAGGGCCTAAGATAGAGAGGTTATCATTCTTTCGGGCCAGGGTGGCCTCCATCCTTGGCCACCTGCTCAAGGCAGCTGTGTATGAGCTGCCAGCCCTGACAGTAAGGAGCAAAGCTACATCTGTCCACAGGAACCCAGGGTCCGCCTTCCCTGGAAATAAACACCACAGATGGGAATGCCTGCTTAAAAAAATAGTCAAAAAAACAAAACCAACCAACCCCAAAACCTTTTTGGGTGGATCCCATCAATAAAGGGGGAGGGAAGTCGGTATGTTTTTTGGGAAGAATGCTTGGCCTCTGCCAACTGGCTTTCGGGGAGGTGGTGCGATGTGATGGCCAGAGGCACCTGGGTTTTCGCTCCAGCTCTGACTCCTCGTTCTTCTTTATCCTTTTGATGAAGTGGGATGGCTGAGTCTCAGGTCTCTGTCGGATCCGGAGAAATAGTCTTTCCTTAATATGCCTGGGTGCACCCAGATTGAATGCTGTATGCTTTGAACCCCCTTCAAGTGATATCAATTATGAAACATCTGTGCAGAGTGTTTCACAATTTACAAGGCACTGTCATGAGCCTGATGAAGGCCTGGGAGAAGACAGAACTGGAAAACAGAACAGGCAGCAAGGTCTAAAACGATCTTGCCTTTCAACCAGACAGACCTTCACAGGAGAGAGGGAAAACCTAAGACCCGGTCTAGCATACCCTTTCTCCCAGGCTGTTTTGGACTCTGCGAGGGTGGTGGATCTTCACCTGGAAGGTTCTTGGTTCATCTTTGGGCTAGGGTCAGCTAAGAGGGGAGACTGTGCCTTCCTTGGCCTACATTTGCCTTCACCTGCAGCCCTCCCCAGCTCCAGGCAGGTGAAGGTCTGTGTGCTTCCGAGAGTTCAGGCTAACCCCCTCCACAGCACCCAGGTCTTCAGCCTGCACATGGAAGGTGGTGTGTGGGAGCAGGACTTTTGTTGGTTGGTTCTTTGATTGCACTGAGGATTGAACCCAGGGCTTCCTACATGTTAGGCAAGCATTCTGCTACTGAGCTACACTCCTTGTCCTGGGATTGTTTTCTTCCATCTTTCTCAGCTAGAGAGACCCAGTTGCTTGGGTGGATCCAGACAAAGGTGGATCTCCATCCCTGGATTTTGTGCCCACGCCTCTGGGTCACCCTGTCTCCCTTGGCAACAGCTGCTGCTGTTTTGGCCATGGGCAGAAAGCTAAAGGCCACGTCTTGGGGAGGCGACGAGCTGGCTTCGTGCTAGTGCTATCCCGGTGCCTGCTAAGCCCCAGGGTTGCGTGTTGCTTGTCACATTGCTGTCTTTGAGAACTAGGGCTTTGGAAAGTAGACAAAGGAAAGTGTGTGACTTAGTCACCCGCTTCGTGTGGGGCAGGGGGCGGGACACTGGGTGCTTCAGCACATTCTGTCAAATCTGGAGCCCCGCTTTAAGGACTCTCAGTCTGAAGTGTGCAGTGGACCTCTTGAGCAGCTGTGGCACCGTTTGCCTGGGCCAGCTGTCTGCCACATGCCGGCCTGATTTCCACTGCTCTAGGAAGTTTGAGTGATCAGGAGACCCGAGTGATACAAGCTTTCCATAGATCAGGTATAGGAGTTTGATTTTTACTCCCCAGAGGGGAGAGCAAGGCATCTCAGATCTGGCTGGGGTGGGGCAGAGCTTGGGTGAGTTCCATGCCAGCAGCCCACTCCCACCTTCTTTGAGAGACTGAGAAGAGCCACAGGTGGCCTCCTCTCCAGTTCCTAAAAGGGACACTGAAGCATGTGCCTCTCAGGGGGTTTAGCATCCACAGCAGGGGTAAGCGAGCACACTTTAACCTCCTTTCCTACAGGCAGCCAGCAGCTCAGGCTACTACTGTGTGTGGTCCATGGCCCAGCTAGTTGTTTCGAGCTGGACCGAGCTGAAGGTGTTGCTGGTTTAGAAAGAAAGGGCCTTAGGCTTTCTTGCAACAGAGCGCCAAGTTCAGAGAAAATTCCAAAAGTCAAGTAGGTCTGCTGGGAGCATCTCCCACCTCTGTGTTCACCCCTTTTGTAGTGTGACCTCCTCCTGGGGCCCTTAGGAATGTTGCTAGGCTACCCTTAACTGGTGGAGAGAGGAAGAATATCCTCATCTGTAACACAGCTTTCTCAGGCTTCTGGGGACAAATCCAAGGCTGTAGATAATGCCCTGCAGGTCTCAGTACCTGGGGCCTCCCACCTCCGTGTAAACCATTGACAACAAGCCCCTATCCTGATGGGCTGCAGGACATTAAGGGCTGACCTCAGTGTCACTTAGTATTCTTTGGTTGGAGGGAGCTTTGATCCTTGCTGCTTGGACCCGGACATGTTGTAGGCAGAGTTTTTTGGTTTTTTGAGACAGGGTTTCTCTGTGGCTTTGGAGGCTGGAACTTGCTCTGTAGACCAGGCTGGCCTCGAACTCACAGAGATCCGCCTGCCTCTGCCTCCCGAGTGCTGGGATTAAAGGCATGTACCACCAACGCCCGGCTGGTTTTTTTTTTTTTTCCTATCATTATTTATTTCTCATCTATCAGGCAGCGTTTTACTCTGCATTTGTGATCAGACATTATAGGCTTGCTTTTTGTGTATTAGGTGATATTAACCAGACCTATCAGTGTTACAAGCCCCCCTGGGAAGGATGCAGAGGTACATTGGAAAAGATAGAGGGACTTTTGGAGAGCGGAGGGCGGGGTGGGGGGAGATGTATGCTTTAAATGTGAAGGCACAACAGTAGAATATTAAACAATGACGGCCACCTGCTTTCTCAAGAGAAGATAAACCTCAGTCCCCCAGGAATTCAGGTCCCAGACTTGCCATTTTAAAATTGTTTTTATTGTATTAATTTATTTAGTGTGTGTGTGTGTGTGTGTGTGTGTGGTGTGTAGTGCAGTATGTATATGCACTTGAACACATGCTGTGGTGTACATTTGGAAATCAGAGGACAGCTTGCAGGAGTTGGTTTTCTTTTTCTACTATGTGAGTTCCGGATATGGAACTCAGGTCACCACAGCAGGCTTGGTGGCAGGCACCTTTACTGGCTGAGACATCTTACCAGCCCAGAACTTGCCTTTTGTCACCTGAATGGAATTGGGACCATCAGGTTTCAGAGCCCTCCTGTCTGCACCTATAAAATTGGAGTAAGATGAGGGACCAGAAGCATTTGCAGACCTGCTGGGAGATGTGTGTGTTTTGCCTTCTGTCCTTATCTCTCATGCATGGGACCTTCTTCAATCATATATCATGGGCCTTTCGAGATGGGTGTCTGAGGGTGTGCTGGGAATAGGTGTGTGTGTGTGTGTGTGTGTGTGTGTGTGTGTGTGTGTGTGTGTGTGTGTGTGTGTGTGTGTGTGTGTGTGTGTGTGTGTGTTAGGACCTGAGTGCCCTGTGTCTTGAATGACACCTTTATCTTCTGGCTTTTGTCAAACAGAATAGAAGGGCTTGTGAGCTGAGTGCTGCCTAGGACCCAGCTATAAAGTGTTTTCTCTTTGAAGTAAAAGGCAACTTAGTGTTGCAAACCTGAAATTCAGGTTTCCTCTGTGGGAGCAGGGGCACTAACGGGTGACTGTGGGTGCTTAGCCTTTCCTGTTGGTAAAGCTTGGCTTTTCATGTCCCTAAATGACATGCTGGGGAAGAAAATCCCATGAACCCCAGTCTCTGAAAAGACTTGGAACTTTTAGTAGACTACTTCAAGAAGTCTTTAAAGTGCTTTGTTTATATGCATGTGTGTATATACATGTGATTGCAGTGACCACAGAGACCAGAAGGGGGCGTCACCTACAAGATGATGTTACAGGCCGTTGGGAGTGAACCAACCAACCTGTTGCTGGGGGCCTAACTCCCATCTTCTGCCCAAGCAGCATGTTCTCTTTACCACCTAGCCATCTTTCCAGCTTCTGAAAATGCTTATTTTAT